CCAGCGCCGTTCTCCAGAGTGGACTGGGGAGCACGAGAAGCGAAAGCTTTTCCCCAGAGGAGACTCCGTGGCCGGCTTCCAAGACTGCTCTTCTCCATGGAGAGATGGGTATCGTCAGTGGGACGTCCATCATCGGGCTGAAAGCAGAAGCACGGTGGGGGGCAAGGGAGCGCATGCAGAAAGTGGCGCCTGCCCAGCCCTCGGATCCTGGAGGCAGCCCTCTGGACTTAAAACGGTTGTGCAGATTTATTCTGAGCAAGCAGTTCCCCTGTAATTTTTGTGCGTGCTGGGCTTGAAAAGAGAGGACTTTGCATGATTTTGGATCCGTTTGACCCTTTCCTACATTGGAAATCTCCATGCTATCTTTCTGGATTTGAATGCTTGGTGTTTTTAGACCTTCTCAGCCGCCTTTCTAAGGATCCACCCCTCTAGCGTTTGCCAAAGTAGCCCTTTGCTGCCCTGCGGAAATCCGTGGCAAGAGGACCATGGCCCTGAGCCGTGCAAGGGATGGGATAAATTTGTGAAGGCTGGTCCGGATCCGCCTGTTGTGAACAAGGTGTTCCCCATTGCCGGGGCCTCTGCAGGTACCCTTGGCAGAAGGTCCTGGGGGCCAGGGGGGGAGGGGAGGGCAGCTGCTTAGCGCCAGACGGTGTGCTTTGCAAGCAGTAGGTCCTGAGTCCGATCAGATGCTGTTGGCATCTCCAGGGGGGCCAGGCCAGGCCGGGCAGCCCTTCCGAATGTTCCGTGGGAGAGAGACGGGCGAAACAGAGTGACCTCCTCCTGAGTGTGCCAGTGGGCAGCCTGGCCCATCTCCCTGTGTTGGAAGAGGAAGGCTCCTCCTGTTTATTCTGGCTGACCCTGTTTTTTGCATTGCATGGGGGGCGGTGGTGGTGGTGGTCTCAGCCTTTTTCTTTAAAAGAATCTAAAGCAGGGATGGGAATTTGAGGGGGGGAGACTGTGGGGTTGGCTGTGGCTGATGGGACTTGTAGAACAGCAGCCCCTGGAAGGCTGCCCCTGCCCCTCCTGGTTCCAAAGAAGGGTGCCCCCCCCGTCTCCCCCTCCGGGCATTAAGATGAGCCTCCAAAGGCCGGTTGGGGTCCTGGGCATCCTTGGCAACAATGATTCTGTTTGGGGGGGGGCATTTGTTCCAAAACTTTGGGT